AAATAACCAGCCCTTATTGGAAGAACATCAAAAGCCCCAGAGTTGTCCTTGCTCCTTATTCTCTACTCAGGTCATTTATTCTGTGGCATTCATCATATAAACACTGACCAGGGCATGGCCAGACACCTGCCAGGTGGGATTAAACTACAGAATCAGCCAATTTGGATAAGTTGAATATGTAAGCATGATTGATCCAGAATTGTTACACTACCTAGGAGTGCCGTAATCCAGACTCTGCTTTGCTATAGCTGGGTTCCCCAACTTACTAAGACTCAGAGATCTATTTTGGATGCCCAGACCATTCTTCTCTCAGTTTAGCAGTTGAAACCTTCAGTTTTGCCCTAGATAAGAATAAATTGATATGATTAAACAGCCAGGTCTTTCTCGGGAACGAGTGTTTTTTTTAAGCCATAGTCATAGCCTCGATTTTTTCTGCATGTATCAAGTCTGACTGATACTTTTCCTCTGTTCTATACCAAACAAGCAATAACTTCAGTTCGCTTTTCTGTCTGCTCCCTTGTAGGCTCTATCACGTCACACTCTGGACCTTTCTCCTCGCCCTGGGGCACTTCCTTTCTGAGCTGTTTGTATACGGAACAGCAGCTCCCACGATTGGTGTTCTAGCACCCCTGATGGTGGCAAGTAAGCATCCGACTACCCTAGACCCTCCCACAAGAGAGGAGACATACAAGAGATATAAGAAATGTACTGTTTATGTCAGCTGCTAATCTTTTCTCTGTATTTAAGGTTTCTCAATCCTCGGTATGCTAGTTGGGCTCCGGTACCTAGAAGTAGAACCAGTATCCAGACAAAAGAAGAGAAATTGAGGCCAGCATTACCACCTCCAAGACTTCATCATCTTCCACCTTTGCTGTCTTCTTCCTTCATCCACTCTGCTCTTTAATTCTTTCCTTTCTGCTCCGTCATCAGCCCTTTATTCACTTTTAGCCTGTTTTTTTTTTACATTTTTAAAACTTTAAGATATAACACTCATACAGAAAAGTATATAACGTGGATGTTTTATAACAATTGAAAGAATAATTTTAAAGAGACAACTCTGTAACTCCATCCAAGTCAAGAAATTGCCAGCACCTCCGAAGCTCACTGTGTGTCCTTTCCCTATGGCAACCTCTTCCAGGCTCCCTTTTCCAGCCTCCTGCTTTTTTTCCTTTTACTTTTCATTCATGTGAACTGTGAAACTTAAAGCTGCTGCCTACCCAAAGCAGCTGTGACCAAGGGCTGCTACAAGGGGTTGTCCACACAGGTTGGGCTCCTCTCTGCTGCTGGACCCAAGACTCTGAACCATCCAAGGAACAGGCAGTTCTTCTAAGAAGGGCTCCCTTGTGTGTGAGCAGGACCATGGTTCTCCTTATATCTACAGGTGGATAAGAGTTGAAAGAGTCTGGGCTGTTTTTAGACCTTCTGGTCAGCTGTATTTGTGTAATGAATTTTGTAATAAATAGAAAAACTCCCTACTCTGATCAATCCTTGTACTTTGACTTCTCCTAAGAAAAGAGTGTTTCTTTCCCTCTCTGAGCTCTAGGATAGGAAAATCTCAGCTTTCTGACTAATTGAATATACCATAGCAAGTAGGACAGCTCAAGACCCAGGTAAACCTGGCTATCTCCAGCTCCTTCTGGTCACTTGCTCGTTTCTCTTGGATTCTTGAAGTCAAATCTTCTTCTTTCCCACCTTCAAGATTCTAAGTTCAAGGGGTCGGCCCGTGGTCACTTGGGAGAGTGTGGTGCTGATAACACCAGGGCCACGGGTTCGGATCCCTATATAGGGATGGCCAGTTGGCTCACTTGGGAGAGCGTGGTGCTGACGGCACCAAGTCAAGGGTTGAGATCCGCTTGCCGGCCATCTTTTAATGAAAAAAAAAAAAGATTCTAAGTTCGTAACTGAACAGTCAGGACCCCTTCTTGTTTTCTTCCTAAAGAAGAAAGATTCTCGAGAAAGCAGAGACAAAATAGAACTAGTCAGTGTAGAAGAAGCAGCTGCATGACCATGAAAAGGAGACAAAACCCCAAGGATAATGCACTGCAGTGGACAGCTGCCCTCTAACCACCACTCTGAGGGCCTCCCACTGGCTGGGCCTCGAACACAGTGTGTGTACTCAAAGGCCATTTGTTATTTCAACAAATATTTATTGAATACTTCTCCATGTCAGATACTTGGGGAAAAAATGAATGACGTAGGCAGTGCCCCTGCTCCTGTAGACCTTACACTGTAGTCAAGGTAACAGAATCAACAAGTCAACACATGAAAGAAGAACTTCAGATAGTGATAAGAACTCTATGGAAAACAAGGTATTTTGATCAAGAAGGGGTGGGGGGTGCATAACTTAGATCATCCTATCTGTCTAAGGACCTCCCTGAGGTAAGGTTTTAGCTAAGACTTGAATGCCCAGGATTCAGATGTCTTAAGATATGAAGGAGGCATTTAGGGCAGAGGTAGCAGCAACTAGAAGGAGGGAACAGTCTTGTTCAAGGGTCAAGGGCAGTGTAACACAGTACAGTGAATAGTTAGGAAGTGCAAAGTAGAAGATAAAGTCAGAAAGGGAGGCCAGGGGCTTATAAGCGCATGATAGGAAGCTTGACATTTATACTTCAATATATTGGGAATTTTCTCATTTAAGGCTCTTCAGGTGAAAGGAACAAAATCTGCCATAAACTATCTTAAACAATAAAGAAATATTGGTTCACATAACCAAAAAGTTACAAGGATTATAGGCTTCAGAAATGGTTGGATTGGGACTCCAGCTCCATTTCTTTGCAATTCTTTCAGCTCTACCTACCTGTGATGGTTTTATCATCAGGCTGGCTTCCTTTATGGTGCCAAAAGAGGTTGCATCAATCCCAGGGCTCACATTGCCACAATACTACATCTAGAAAAATAGTTCAGTGGTAAGAACTATCTTTTCCTTACTAACTATTGTAAGGAGGTAATAAGAAAAGCAGTGGTCTTACTGTGAGTGTAGATCCACATGGAGACCACCTAAGGGAGTGAATGAAAGCATGAGATGATATGGGTCCTGTAAGCATGTGTCATAGAAATGTGATTCCAGATAAGTAAAGGCACGATCCCAAAGTATCTAAAGAGATGATGTAGGTAGACTATTTAGCAGGCACTGTGAATATATTTTTCTAACACCCCAGGCTTATGTCCCTTTCCAGATGATTTAAAGTAGAATCATAATATTGTTTCTCTCTAAGAATTGCTAATAAATATGGTGCCAGAATGCCCTAGGCAACTCTCTAGGGAAGAAATGTAGAGAAAGCTAATAGCAGCAAGTAACAGACCTAAGGGGAACACAACTGGGGAGAGAGGAGTGACAGTAGGACAGTTCAGAAGAAAAATGATAATGCAAAACTACCGATGCTGGGACTAAGCTGGGAACTCTGGCCAGAGCAAGCTGTGTGTGGCCGGGGTAATCACAGAACAAATGCTTCCGCCATCCTTTGAGGCAAAGCTGGAGACAACAGTGGACTCTCTCATCAACAGTCACATTCCAGCATGGACACAGTATGGAAAGGGGTTAGGGTCACATGCTGGATGTTGAGTAGCAGTCCCCCATGTAGGGAGACAGGAAACTTTACAGCCTCATCTTGCAAAAATAACCCACCAGGATGGGAACATATCATAGTTGCTGCTCCTCTAGCCTCTACCCCCACCCCTCCAGCCCTTCCCCACACCTCGGACACAGTCCTCAGAAATGTGTGACAATCCTGTGGGGTCTACCAAGAGCCATCTCTGCACCACCAAATGATAAAGCAGGCCACTTTGAGAATATTTTATTGCCTTAAAACATCTGCTGTTACAAATAGAAAATATAAATTATGTTTTTGAAATAAAGCAATGGGTTCAGTAAACATTTTGTTAATATTTTTTGAGGGTTAAAGAGTAAACTTTTCTCCTTATCAAAAAGTAAGGCCCAACTTCTCTTCATCTCCCTCCACCACAAGTGTGAACTTCTTTTATTACATACACAGTGTGTACTATCCATTGTTCAAACCTGTATACACAAACATGAACACACACCCAGACACAACAACACATCTGGCTCCCCTCAGAGGCAGTGGCCCAAGCACTCCAGCACTGCAGCCAGCACAGGCTGCTCTGATATGCCAAGGCCAGGGCAGTGGCCAAAGCAGGAGAGCACAGTGGTCATAATCACAGCTGCTCAATGCACCAGGGAAATTACCAAAATTTCTCTTATTTTCAGGAGACACTACCAAAGCCCATGAGAAGAACCAGACAGGCAGGAAAGGCGGCCAGCTGGAGTTGGTTTAAAGGGAATCCCTTTAAGTTTAGAATATGATAAAGACGGGCCAGCCCGGCGGCGCACTGCTACAGTGCGCCGCTTGGGAGTGTGGCGGCGCTCCCGCCGAGGGTTCGGATCCCACATACAGACCGGTTCCCGCTCACTGGCTGAGCGAGGGGCGGGTGCAGCACCGAGGGTTGCGATCCCGTTGCCGGTCCCGGTCCCGGTACGGGCGTGACACTGAGGGTTGCGGCCCGTTGCCGGACACGAAAAAAGACAAAAAGGAAAAAAAAAAGAATATGATAAAGATTATTGCTAGAAGGAGGTGGAGAGAGGGGTTGGGTATGCAAATACTGTCCCACCAGAGATGGGATATGCTTAATCCAAGCAGACTCAATTCCCACTTCAAGGGGTACCTTTCTTTCTACCCCTTTCCTCTCATCCCTCAGAAGCAGCTTTGGATTCATCGGAGTGGAAAAAATCAAGATTAGTTTTCAGTAAAGGTTAGAATAAGTTGGCTGGGATTGCCTTCCCTCAGGATAAAACTAGCAGTATCCAGATAAAGGCATCAGAGGTGACTAGGACACACAGAACTACCTGGGCAAGGACTTCTTTTGTAGAGAAGAACCTTCCCATTCTCCATTCAAGCTACTTGAGTTCCCAAATATGGGCCTCCACAAATAAACTCAGCAGGTAGCCCCCAGCACTGGTTTCTCCTTCCCGGTCACAACAAAGATTTTGTCAAGTTTACTGATGTTTGGTTTGATCAGCTCTTAGAAAAGAGGGTTTGGAGACAGACCCCAACAGTAGGCCAGGAGAATTTAGGCCCAAGAGTCCTGATGGAGCTGTTCTGATGGTGCTTCCTCTCCCATAGAACTAGAGCCATCACTCTGATGACCCAGAATGACTCTCAGGCAGAGCAGCGGGCCACTCATTAGAACTGGGCTTCACATGAGGGTCTTAAAATACTAGAAAAAGTTAATGTTCTGAATAAGCTTTCTTCCCGTGATAATTTTGCAAGCATTGTCCATGAGGGATGGAGGTGAAGAGGGAAAGCAAGGGACCAAGTTAGGACTGACTCCAGTATTCTCCACCAGCCTCTCCCAACACCAGCTCCCATGACCTAAAAGGGGGAGGGTGCAGGAATCAAATCTGTGTTTGGTGAGAGGTACAGTTTTCCCCATCTAAGTCATCCGAGCTCTTGAGTGGATTCCGGGAGGCATAGTCACAGCCATCCAAGCCACAAGTCTTATAGCCGGTTCTCTCCAAAAGCTTCTCCAGCAAAGACCTTTGTGCTGGCAGTGAGAACTGTGCTGAACAAAGTGGTGGGGGTGTTCTCTGTGTTCCCTGAGTCGCCACCACCTTTCTCCCTCAGAAGTGATCCTTCGATGCAGTGGTGAGTGCTTTGCTGGTATTACTCTCTTCTTCCTCCTGGAGTTTCTACAAGGCAAAACAAGCAGGCAGCCCTGTGGGTAAAAGGCCAGGACTCCACCCTGGCTGCAGCAACTGCCTAGCAGTGACTCTAATCAGTGGGGAATACAAGAGCCAGAGACCATCAACACCATCAAGAGCAAACAAAGGGAACAAGAAAAGAAGCAACAAAGGAAAAAAAAGACCAGTTTTCTATGATGCCATGGCCACCACAAACCATCCCACTCTGAATGCCACTGTTCCAGGCCCACTCTCAGGATTGAAACAGAAGCAAGGCCCACTTTCCCTCCCTATTCTGATATCCAGAAACCCACCTCAGCTAACCATCAAATAGCTGTCCAAGGAGCCAGATCTGCAACTCCCTCAGAATTTCCAGCTAACCTCACTTGGAGGCAGCCCCCAGGATGAGAAATATTATAATGTACATGGAATGGGTGCCACAAAGAGAATTTTTTTAAGGCAACATGCATAACTGCATATAAACTCAATGGCTAAAAATACATATATATACTTCATGCATAGAAAAAAAGACTCTGAGGCAGTTTAGCCTTGACTTTCTAAGGGAGGGATGGCACAGGATTGGTTTACAGGGAAGAGACTGCTGGGTTGCTCTTGTTAGGTGGGTTTGTAATTAAATATGGCATGGAAATTATCCTGTGGGGCCCCTAGGTACATACCGCCAACTTAGGCATTTCTCTACTGTTTGAAGAAGTGTTTTGCCTGTTATTTCCAGGGTTCTTTTAATTAGCAAGAAGGACTTGGGCACAGGCTCAACACTGCCTAGCCAACACCACTTAAGGCTGAAAGAGCATATGCAGGGCAAAGCTAGAGTCCAGTGTCAATTGGACAAATGGCACTTTCTTCCCCACAGAATGTCTCAGGGCCAGTCCACGGCAATGGCAACCACTGCAGAAATCCAGTCTTCCATTCTCAATCTTGCTAACCTGCTGGCACCAGGTCGGCCTTTGTCTTTCTCCTTTCTCTGACACACACACACACACACACACACGCGCGCGCCTCCTCCAAAGTCATCACTTGAAATCACAATCAGAAACACAGCTTAGTAGGGAAGGAAGTACAGCTGCTGTCTATGTGCTGGAAGAAAAACGGAAACCCAAACCAACAAGATTTTCATCATCAAGGTCAGTCTTCACCCCTGTCCCAGAAGTTCTCTCTTTTTACCTAAACTATATATCTCACTTATTAGAAAGAGCAGATCTGGCCAGATCTCCTGCATGCCCTTTCTTTACCTGGCTCTGACAATGAATTTGTCTGCAGTTCTCTGAATTACACTGAGCGTCATGAGGTGTGTAATGACAGGGTTCCAGAGGAGAGCTGCTCTGTGCCAGCCAGCAGCTGGTATCAGCCCCAGCATGACTGACCTCAGATAATGCCAAGCTGCTAGTGAGGTCCAGAGAAGCATAGTGAGTTATCAAGGGAGAAGATACTTGAGCACCATTACTGGAACTTAAGGTTTCTATTCCTACTCATTGCTATTTCCTATACCCCATACTCAAGGAGACCAAGCCAACAACTACAGCCTTGATTAACAACTGGTCTATGTGCCCAAGGATCTGGCTGCAAGAATCATGAAATATTGGAACAACTGGAATATTAAACGAGGTGGAAATATATATGTATGTAGACATGAGGTTGTAGAAGAATGAGATAGTGTGGAATATATACATATTCACCAAAGTGTACCCAATTATTGTCTCCTTGTACATAGCACAGGTGAAAGCCCATGTCCACGGTAGCCATGTCACTGTCCTCAGGCAAGTCTAGAGAAGTTCATTCCTGCTTTAAGGACTTCTCTATCTATGCAGTGAAATTCGTGTTCTAGGTTCCCTCTTCCACACACTACCTGAAGCTGCCTGCCAACTCTAGCACATGATACCAGGAGACAAACAATAAAGAACTAAAGATTATCATCTATCTGCCAATACATATCCTTAAAACACTAAAAAAAATCTCTAGCAGATAACCATTTTTGCCTTATAAAATTGGCGAAGATTTTTCAAAATGATAAATACTCAGTTTTGGCACTCTTATACACTGCTATAGCAAAATAAACTGGTGGTATTGATGGTATCTTTCTCGAGGACAGTTTAGCAACACATATCAAAGTCTTAAAAATGTACATGACAAATGATTCATTTCTCAAGGAAATACTGTACTTAAGAACATACACAAAGACTCAGCTTTCAACATGTCAACCACAATATTGTTTATAAATTGAAACATCCTTAATATCCATAGACAGGAAAATTGTTAAATCATGGCTTATTCATATATTGAAACACAATGCAGTCATTAAAAGCATATTGTAAAAGACTAATAGCCTGATAAAGTGTTTGCAATAAGCAAAAAAAAAAACAGATACAATAGGACTCTATTTTTGTTTTTAAAAAGATATATATATTTGAGGGTACTTCAGAAAGTTCATGGTGGGCTGGCCGGTTAACTCAGTTGGTTAGAGGGCAGTGTTATAACACCACGGTCAAGAATTCAGATCCCCGCACCTGCCAGAAACAAAATTAAAAAGTTCATGGAAAGATTTATATTATCTTTTAATTCTATTTTTCCACAAACTTTTTGAAGTACCCTCCTATACACAGACACACGCACACACATATGTAGACATAGACATGCAAAAAATAACAGCATCTAATCTCTAGATGATGGAATTGCAGGATGATACTTTAATTTTGTATTTTAGTTTTTCTACAAAGAACATGTATTACCTCTATAATAAGTTTTGGTTTTGCTTTTGTTTTTTTTTTTAAGAAAAATCCTACTTTTACTACTTTTCAGATTTGAAATTCCTTTCATCCTCACTCAGATTCGATACCTAACATTTTGGTTAAACTGGTTCCCAGCTGATCAGATGAGAAACATTTTTCTGTTCTAGATTATACTTCTGGTCCTTTCCTCTTCTACGACCATTAGCTCCTATGTCCTGACTTGTGCTTTTAGATCCCTACAGGCAATCTATTGTTCTCCATTCCCATGGCCTTGCCTAAGGGGCTGTCATATGCCAGGAGAGCCACTGCCTTATGGCTACCACTGCCATGACAGAGTGGTTGAGCCAGGCTCCCACCTCTCCTCCCCAGCCACTGACCCCAGGCTGAAGACAGTAGAGCCAGAGTCTTGGCTCAAGATCCAAGGGGTGGGCACTGCTCAGCAGGCTGTGACAACACTGACATGCTCTGGGGACCAGAGCAAGGGAGCCAAGAGAAGGGTAGGAAGCTGGAGAAGAACCTGAGAAAGAGTAGTAAAAAGCAATGCTGAAACACCCACTGAGGAAACCCTTGGGATGCCATGTTTGTGAGAGGTGAGCTGGTCTCACAGCCAGCACCAGTCTAGTCCCTCTAGGAGTTCTCCCCGCCCCCACCTATGTTGCCACATCTTCATCAAAAGCCCTGGACCCAGATCTCAGCCACACCAAGCTCCCATGTACTCACATTCTCAGGAGTTTCTTTGTTTGCTTTCTGCCTCCGGAGATCTGCCCTAATGAATGCTGAGGTTGAAAGATCAGGAAGGAAGAATGACAAAGACACAGAGTCATCAAGCAGATCAGTGGTCAGGTTCATGCAGGAGAGGAAGCCCTCATTTTTCTAACAGTTGCAGGTATCCCATACCTACTTCAGATAGTCAAGGGAGCTGAGGCACCATCAGCCAACTTGATAAAGCCCAGGGGTCACTGCTATCCCTGACCACAGAAGACACTTACATATCACTTATATTTGACAGGGACTTGGCGCACATTGCTCTAATCACAACAGCTCTCATTTTACAGATTAGAAAACTCAGGCTCCCAGAGGTTGGTTCACTTGCCCCAGGTCAATGGTTATGGAAGTCAATGTCAGTCTGGGATTCAAACATGGGTCTTCTGGCTCCGAAGCCCATGTTCATTCTACCAAAACATGTTACTCCCTCCTAAACATTTCCTAACAAGCCCTCCCATTTATCTTCCTGTAGTATACTCCCTATCTGTTCAATCACGTCAAGACACTGGGGTCCCAATTGCCAACAGCCTTGCCCATGGACAGCCTGTGCCTCATCTTGCCCTCAGGCCCCAACTCACCAGTGAGAGCTGCTCCAAGGGTGAGGAAGACACACAGGAAGATGTTCCCAGGCATGGTTCCATAGTTTTCAATAATCTGGCCCTGGGAGATGGTGAAGATGATCCCAAATACCTGGAAAGGCATAAAGAAGACTGGAAACAAGGGCCCAATCAACTAACCCACGGGGAGAACTGAGGTGCCATCATGCAGTGCCTGCCTAGTCAGGCAGGGAACAATGAAAATAAGAGCTCTACCTGTGCAGACACGTTGAGGAGGCCAGATGACATGCCTTCAGATTCTGGGTATGTGAGTTCCACAGCAAACTCGAATCCCAGCGGGAGATAGCCAGTCATAAAGAAGCTGAGGTCCAGATCAGAGAAACAAGTGATGAAGAACTTCCAGAACATGGACGGGGAGCCCACCTCCTCTCTTAGAACTCCCTTTCCTGTTTTTTTTCTTCCCATCAAGATGTGCCAGGCCCTTGGACAATCTGAGCATCCCTACGTTGTCATACCAAGGAAAGGGAGACCCCTGCAGGCCAGGAAGAAGTTCCTACATAGACCTCATACTCAGTGGGCCTCTGGGGTCCCTTGCTGATTCTCCATCCAGCCATCAATGACAGGCAGGGTCAGCAATTACAGAAGGGGCCAGGATGCCTGGTGTGTTCAACCCTCAGGTGGAGACTCTGTGTCAGGGGCACAAAGGCGCTGTGCTGGGAGTGGGAAGTTCTTGGATACATAGCAGCCCTTCCATGGCTCTTTGGGACCAGCAGGGAAGAGCTCAGAGTCCACCTTATCTCCCTCCAGAGGGAAGGACTGAGAGCTAGAGGTCTCTCGCTCTCTCGCTCTCTCACACACATACACACATTCTCACATTGATATGTATACACTCACATAACAAAATAACAGAGGTGGAGCTGAGTGGAGACCCCTGTGAAAGGGTTATCATTTCCTATGTTTTTTAATGCAACAGGTCTAGAAAATTCCAATTCTAATTTTTCACATCTGCACAACACTTCTTGCTGCTTTCACATCTATTATCTTTCGCAATCCTTCCAACAACTCTATGAGGCAGGCCACTATTACCTTCATTTACAGATGAGGAAACAGAGGCTCAGGGCAGTTAAGTGACATGCCTATGGTCTAACAGATAGTCAGCAGAAGAACTGAGACCAGGACCCAGAGTTTCTGATTCCAAGCCCTATGTACTTTCTATGACTCCATGTTGTTCCAAGCAAAGCTAAACAAGGCTCTAAATATTTCCTATCCCCAGATGGCTTGAAGGGCATACTCCATGCTACACTCCATCCCAATAGCATGGACAACCCCCGCTGCCTTTTGAAGTGCTACAAGAATTACTTCCACGTCTCCTGAGTCAGTGAGAAGGCAGCAAAGGGATCATCAACATTGCATCCTAGGATACTGGCAGCTCTAGGAGCCATGAGATGGTCTCTTCCAATTAAACAGATCAGAGGTGAAACTTACCCCATTGTGCCAGCAGTGATGAACACTACCCACAGGTGTCCCAGGTTCAAAGTCAATGTGTACACCACCATGCCCACCAGAGTCATGATATACACCGCCAGGGTTGTCTCCCTATAAGTAGAGGCAAAGAAGTTGAGTCATACGCTTCTGACTTTAACAGGATCCATCATTCACTCATTCATTCATTCCACAAGTATCTATTGGGTCCCTGCTGTATGTCATAGTCTCTGCTGTGTGCTGGGACACCTGCTGTCATAGAACTTTCTGTCCATGAAGGTGATGGACACTGAACCAATGATCACACAATTATTTAATGACATCATGATTAATGCTACAAAGAATAAGACTAGGAAAGTATGAAGCCATCTTGCTGTGTGTATATTCTCTTCCTGTAGGACCATCTCAACAATATGAAGCTGCCCCTTGACTTGTCATGTCCTATCCAAAGGCAAGAAGGGCACAGTCCTTTCCTTCCCCCATACCTCACCAGAAAAAAAAAGAGCACAAACAACAGGACTAACAGCATGGTTGGGTAGCAGTGACATTTATGGACTACCCCAGAAGCCACCCAATTCTGCTTGTTTGCATTGTATCAAGACCCCATGACAATGCTGGGGAGTGATCTAACTTTTAGATGCTTCTCTGTAATTGCACAGGCCCGGCACAGCTTCTGTTGTTGTATCTGAACTACTTTGCTCCAGACAGTGGGAACTAAGAGACGACATTCTCTAGCCCTGAACTAAGTGCTTAACTCCAAAGCCAAAGTGAGAAACCTCCACTGAGTCTCTGTTAACATTTCTTTGTCAGTCCCCTCAGAAGTACGATCTACAAGTCCTAGTTTCTATTTGAGGCTCACCCCTGTTGTGCCCCCTACACACTTCTTTTCTTTCCCATGTCACCCACCCAGGACACTGCCGTGGCGCTGACTCCTGCAATTAGACCTGCATTCTTCTCTTGTGCTACCTACTGCAGGGCACGGGCTCTGCACATCCTTCTGCCCTCCTGCCAGGCATACCAGACACAGATGATGAAAGCTTAAAGCCTTCAAACAACTCCCCAAAAGCCAGAAACACTGTGGGGGTGCCAGCAGGCACATTAGGGTTATATCAAACTAATACCCTAATTACTTGGTGTCAAATGTTGTTAAGACTTTACATGCATTTATTATTTCAACTCAACACTTATGAAACTCCTGCGAGAAATGTATGACTATCCCTGATTTTACCAATGTGGAAAACTGAGGCTCAGGCCAGTTAAGTTACTTATTCCCAGTCACCAATTGAGTAAGTGCAGAGTTGAGATTTGAACCCAGAGCTAAGTTTGAAACCTGTGCTCTTTCTACTACTGCACATAGGAACAATATACACTATGTGGCTGCATTTTTGGAAAGGCTCAAGGCCAGAGCCTCCAAAGGACGCTGCTTCCACCTGGTGCTTCAAAGCAGCTGCTGAGGGTAGAGGAGCTTCCTCCTCCTTTCTAGACCATTTCCTCCCACCCTGCAGAAAACAGCTTCACAGATAACTAGTTTTTCTCAGTGATCCCATAAGCTTACCAGATACTGAACTTTTCATTTTATTTTGGGTTTTTTTTGAGGCTGGCTAGTACAGGGATTGAACCCTGGACCTTGGTGTTACCAGCACCACACTCTAACCAACTGAGCTAACTGGCCAGCCTCAGATACTGAGCTTTTTTTGCCATATTTGTTTTACCATGGCTTCATCTTAAACCATTGACCAGTTCAGAAAAACTATTTGTAGTCCCAGCCTGACATAAACAGATCTCACCACCCAATTTCCAGCCTCCAAACCAAACTGTACAAATCTAGGAGCCATAGAGAGAAGAGAACTGGCACCAAAATGAGGGGACCACAGAGCTTTCTCTTCCCACTGAGATCCTTTCTCTGCCTGGGTAGTGGTACAAGGAGAATGTCTCATGCTGGCTTTAGACATCAAGTGACTTTAGGAACTGGTGACATCTCGGTTCTGAAGAAGGTTGAGGAAGTGTCCTACCCAGTCCTTTCATTATATTTTCTAATTCATCTGATTCATCTGGCTGCCCACGTCCCAGCCCAGCAGACATTCCAATCCCTCCCTTCTCCTGCCGCAGGGCAAGCCCTGGAAAAAGGGATACAGCTGTTCACTGGTTTGGGGGTGGCCAGTCCTCACTGCTCTCGTGTCTGGCCTAAGCAAGCAACTAACAGATGGTGGAGACAAGACGGCAGCCAAGCTCTACCAGCAGCAACCACGCCAAGACAGACTCCCCATCATGGTATGCCAGGCAGCCACATCCCTGCGGATGGTCTCAATGGACTTTAGACTAAGGCAGCCAGAGTGAGACCTGGCCTGAACAGAGCCTCACAGAAGCGTGTTTGTGTAGCAGACAACAGGTCTGCCACTGTCTGTCGCCTCCAGACACTGGGAACTTTGGAGGCCTTGACAAAGCAGCCTGGAATGCCGCCCTTCCCCAGCACAGAACAACCCTGGCAGCTTCCCCACCAGCCAGTGTTAACTGAGCACCCAATGTGTGGGGAGTACTGGATAGTCATAACAAGAAGGGGAGGATGTTGGGCCTCTGTTCTCCAGAGCATTTTCTCTAAGGCTGGCTACTGAATTGAGGCACTCAGGTTGCTTCTTACAAATGCAGATTCCTCTACTGAATTAGCATCCCATTCAGTAGAATTGGAGGTGGGGACAGGGCCCAGAATTCCATACAAATGCAGATTCCTCTACTGAATTAGCATCCCATTCAGTAGAATTGGAGGTGGGGACAGGACCCAGAATTCCATATATTTTTTTTTTTTTTGTCTTTTTTTGTGTCCGGCAACGGATCGCAACCCTCAGTGTCGCGCCCGTACCGGACCGGACCGGCAACGGTATCGCAACCCTCGGTGTTGCCCCGCACCTCGCTCAGCCAGTGAGTGGGAACCGGTCTGTATGTGGGATCCGAAACCTCGGCGGGAGTGCCTCCACGCTCCCAAGCGGCGCACTGTAGCAGTGCGCCACCGGGCCGGCCAGAATTCCATATTTTAATAAGCATCCTAGATTAGTCCAGCATATACTAAAGCCTTTTAACACAGCTCCGGGCTCTTAGAAATGCATTGGTTTTCAGGTTCAAAGCACATCATGATATTTGCCAACAAGGTATAGACAACTGCAAGATCACATACACTGCAAGGCAGAGTAAGCACAGACCACTTTGGTTAACCCCATGGGGTCCACAAGGAGCCATGGGAACAGGGTAGTAAAATCGCCTCATCTCCACTCTTTGGGGTTTCCACATACTTTGCAACTACTGAGATTTTCTTCTCAATCATTTTCATTTCTGTCTCATCTGCTCTTCCACAAAGCTACTTGAGAATGGGAATGGGGAAAAGGACTGTGCTAGGCCTTCATGTCCACTATTTCTAATCTTCCTAAGATCCCCACAGGGCTCCCTTATTTTATAGTGTCCTTCATTTTATAAATGAGGAAATTGAGGCCCAGAGAAGATAAATTGGAACTGCCTGCTTGACCACTCAGACACCCAGCTGCCACACCCAAAGCTTTGGAGCCACATGGCTAATGAATATGTCACCTCAAAAAATGGGTCTCTAATTCTTAGAGGAAGTGTCACTTACTTGTAGGTTTTGGACCTATCGAGCCAGATGCCTGAGATCATAGCACCGAGCATTCCTGCAATGACGATGGTCAGGCCGATTCTTCCAGCATTCACTTCTTCCCCCTGTGGAAATCACAGCCCCAAAGATAACCCAGCAATGGGACAGAGAGCAGTCACCCTGGTGTGAAGGGGCAAAGGCAAGTAACTCAGGCTCATTAGAGCCAATATTCAGAAAGTATCAGGACAGATGGCCTATAAGAAGATGGCCTGGGAGGGAATCCTAGAATAGTTGCTCTTTCCAACAATAAAACCTTGGATGAGTGTGCATGACACGATGCTGGAGTGACAAGGATGAACCAAATTCTGTCCTTATAACCACTTTTAGGCAGATTTTTTAAAAATGCTGGAGTGACAAGGATGAACCAAATTCTGTCCTTATAACCACTTTTAGGCAGATTTTTTTTTAAAAAAATGTAATCATAGGGCCGGCCCATAGCTCACTTGGGAGAGTGTGGTGCTGATAACACCAAGGCCACGGGTTTGGATTCTTATGTAGGGATGGCCGGTTGCTCACTTGGAAGAGCGTGGTGCTGACAACACCAAGTCAAGGGTTAAGATACCCTTACTGGTCATCTTTTAAAAAAATTTAAAAAATAAAAAAATAAAATGTAATCATTATGGCAACTCTTCTATCTTATTTAACATTATTCCCATTTCCCAGATGGGGAAATTGAAATATGAATGTCCAAATATTCCATTCTTAGGTTTTTTGAGTTATCAATACCAGAAGGAATGGAAAGATAATAGTCATATAATTTTGAATGATTACTAGGAGCCAGGCACGATGCCTAAGATTTTACATCATTATCTCATTTAATTCTCACAGTTCACCAGTAAGGTTAGGAATCAGTCTTCTTCATTTTACAGACAAAGAAACTAAAGCACAATGAGATTAACCTATTAGCCCAGGTCACAAGGCACATATTAAGTACAAAGCTAAGATTTGAACTAAGACCTGTCAAACTCCAAAACTGGAACACTTAGCCACAGTGGCCTACCACCTCTGTGCATATGAGATACTAGCCCTTTCAAGAGGGGGTTGGACCTAGGTTTTTCTGACCACAGGACACTCAGGTTCCCATTCTCAGCATCCAGCCTCTACTGGTTCTAGAAATATTTTAGAAACTGCCAGTCAAGATGGCAGAATAGACAGTCCCCAGCATCACTCTCTCCCACAAATCAACCAATTTACAACTATAAGAAAGCAACGACATCCAAGGTGGGGCTGCTAGAGCTCGGGGGAAGAGGAGGAGAGACCTATGGAGTGCATGAAGGTGGGAGAAGCCACGATGAGAGAAAGAAAGAACCACTCTGACCATTTTGAATCCAGCCATTTCCAGGCTGAAGCTGCTGAGCCCATGGAGCAGGAGCTGGCAAAAGCAGGATCTGTGCCCTTCAGATGAAGTTGCTTGGAGGCAGCAAGGGAAAAGAGGGCCTTGGTGGCCCCCAGGCCAGCAAGACCACTAACAGAGTTCCCGTGGACCCACATAGGAGCGAGGAGCCACAACAAATGACGAAAAGGAGCCACTCAGAGGCCAGCGAGTCATCGCAAGGGACTGGCACATGGCCCAACCCATGGGAAGTGTTTGCAGCATGGGAGGTGGGGGAGACAGGCCCACTGGGAGAAGAGTGGGGCATAGCAAGGGCACCTGATTTGCACCCCAATCAGCATAGGACCACTCAGAGGAGACTGGTCAGGAATATAGAATTGCATGGGGTGCAGTTTGATGAAAAGACACTGGCCCAAACCAGAGTGTCTACACAACCCAGGTCCACAAGATTTCACTAGACCTGGAAATAACTATACAGTCAACCATTAAAACCTGAGCAGCACAAAAATCCTTCCCAGGGAATTAGCAGCAAAGCAGCAATTTAGCTAAACCACAGAACTCAAGTACTGGTCCCCACAGGAAGTTCCCCCATTTTAGAAGTAAGCAAAGGACTAAAAATTAGTTCCAGCACAGAGTTTAAGTGGGGGGAACAGCAAGTAATCCAATAGAGAACTGAAAGAAAAAACAAAGTACCCACAACCAGAGACAAAGTTTGGTATTAACTAGTAAAGGTCTCATTTCACCAAAGAACACCTATAATACCTAGAAGGCCTGGAAGACACCTGGGCTACCAAGCCAGAAGGGTGGGAGGGCAAGGGGCCTCAGCAATGCCCCTTGACATCCACAACCAGTCCTGAGGTGGGGGATGAAGGCCTTGGCCACACACCCCCAACACACGCAACCACCCTAGTGATGACCACTGAACCACTGCAGGACGCACCCCAGGCCCTCCCGAGCTAGAGTGGTGGGGGGCCAAGGGCTTTGGCCACACCCCCCAACACCCCTAAGTGACCCAGTGGCGACCACCAAGCCACTGCAGTAAGCACCTCAGGCTCTCCCGAGCCAGGGCGGTGGGGGACTGAGGGCCTCGGACACGCTTCCCAACACGCACAGCCAGCCCAGCTATGACTACCAAGCCACTGCAGGAAGCTCCACGGACTCTCCCAAGCCAGGGCAGGGGATGCCAAGGGCCTCGGCCATGCCCTCCGACATGTGCAACCAGCCCAGCAATGACCACCAAGCCACAGCAAGAAGGGCCCCAGGTTCTGGAGCTGGGGTAGTGGGGGACGAGGGCATTTGCCACATCCCCCTGACATCTGCACCCACCCCAGCAATGACCAAGCCACTGCTGTAAGCCCCCTGGTCTCCCCTGTGGGAATGAGGGGGCTGCTACAGGCCTCAATCCCGCCCCTCCTCCTTCCTCCTTCTTCCATCACATTATCTTCCCCTTTCCCCTCTCCCCTCCTCTCAACTGCTCCACAACATAATCCTAAAATGTAAAAAATAATATTAATAAAATAAAAAAGCAATTTAAAAAAAAAGAAACATCTTAAAAATGCTTTCAGTTGAGCAAATAAGAGTTCAGAATTAAACCTTGCCCATATTTTACAAACTAAATATTTATATTTACCAACTGCATTGCCAGGCACCATGCTTATGTACTTTGCACATACAGGAGTACTTCAAAAAGTTTATGGAAAGATTTGTGTTATTTTAAAATTCTATTTTAATTTTATCTTTCCACGATTTGTGTTATTTTAAAACTCTATTTTAATTTTATCTTTCCACAAACTTCTTGAAGTACCCTCATATATAATAAATATGCTATGAATCTATATATATATATATATATATATACACACATGCACATATGGTATTATTTACTCTCCAATCCTAAAAATAATCTTGCAAGAAGTATTATGTTTTTTTATAGAAAAGAGAATGAGAACTCAAGAGACACTAACTAGCTTCTTACACAGTCACCATTACACAGTTTAGTACTGGGGTGGAGAACCAGGGCCATCTCCCTCCAAATCCCATAAGCATACCATCATGCCATGCTGCCTAGAACTGGGGCCAAGACAGACTTAGAAACCGTATTATCTCCAGGCCCAGCATACCCAGGAAACTCCCTTACCGGGTAGTGCAAGATCACCATGCGATTCAGCAGAGTAGACAAGGCATAAAAAACACCAGCATTCAGACCTGAAGGAGGGAGGGAAAAACACAACGTTAGGGTCAGCCTTCTCCTGGGGCCATTGCTAACTTCTCTCCTACAGCAGCTGGGGAGGTTAGAAATCCTCATCCCCACTGCCTCTCCGAGTGGTGTCCTCAGAGAAGAAAAATCCAGGGAGGTATGAGGCTGCTCTGCAGTTTTCCTCAAATAAATAGTTCATAACAAACAAAAGTAACCATTTTAACCTTTTCTTAGCCACACACTATTGTCCTCTGATCCTTATCATCTGCCTTGGAAAAATAGGCTCTGTAAAGTATTACTCCCAGGTCAGAATCATCTACATGCCTCTCTTAAGCTTTGGCTAGACCTATGGGGTCAGTAGGACTATTGGACGCCCTCCACCTTCTCCTGATAACCCTGTCCCCTTTCTAGACTGCTTCAGACATCTGATCCCCTGACACCACTCCCTCCACAGGTAGTTTCTCTCCTCTTTCTCCATTTCTTCTCCAACTTTCTTCTCTGATTCAACATCACACAAAATCTATTATGTAGAACTAAAAGAAACTTTAAAGAACATTTAGTTGACTCTCCTATTTCATCTATTCATTCATCAAACAAATAATGCACCTAGAATATACTGTAAGAACTTATATCCTTAGAGAATGAGATCATTTTTCCAAAGCCATACAGAGAATTAGTAGCTATAATGAGACTGAAGAAAGGGCCTCTTGGCCTCCCTTCAATAATGGTTGTGGTGGTGATGATGATGATGATGATGATGATGACAAAGATAATGTTGATAGCAGCACATACTTATGCACTAAACACACTTCTAAGCACCTTATAATCTTTATAACAAAACTCTAGAAGGTAAGGTAGGTGATATTATCATCTCCATTTATAGATGAGAAAAGTTCACACGGAGTTAAAAAAAAAAAAACAAATACAGTTACTCCATAATTCTCACCCACAGTCTTTTTAGCTTTAACTAAACATTGAGGCTCACAAGACTACCAGCAGCACACTTGATATTAGCTTCACATAGAAAAGTATAAGACTGGACACATAGCTTGCAGGTAGGGAAGTTCCTCTTCAATGGAATGAGTCCATAGAACCCCAGTCCATGGAGCCATCCAGAGCTACTCTCTTTGGCCCCCAAGGTGATGGCTTAGGTACAAGGAAAGGTGAGTATGGCGACCACCCTGGTTTGACACTTCACAGTAACCACTATTGCTTATAACAACTCCATAGGCATAGCTTCTAGGGTCCCCATGAAGGACAGGGCAGTGAAAAGAGTCATTGTACACAGGGAAACACAAAAAATGGCCTCCTACCAGATATAAATAGATGTTCCTGTCCATTTTTTTTCCTCACAGGAGGTCATTTTTATCATAAGCAATATTCCCTAAATGTAGTTCACATACTCCCTTTATCAGGTTCCCAGAAGAACGAGATACAAAGTTAGGTAAAGGTCAAATTCTCATGCGAAATTGGAAAGAATTTGCTTTACCTTTCTGATTGGAATAGAAGAGCATAAAAATAATAAAACTAAATAAAAATTAAATAAATAAATAAATTTCTTTTACCAGTCCCACAATCACAATCACACAGGTATAAAGTGGTGTGGCAAGATTTGAACCCAGACCCTGTGGTTCCAAGAGTCCTTGATCTTAATCACTCCACTTTACATCTCTACAGAGCTGATTCTCAAAAGAAAGATTTCCCCAACTCAGTTCACTGAACAATTTCACGACCTCTCCCAGCAGGTCACCCCAGGTATGCAACAAGGTTGGGTTCAGTGCAGCCTAAGTGGCACAGGACCACAAGTGGGCAAAAAAAAAAAAAAAAACCCAGACACGTCACCAAACTTCACTACAACTGCCAGCTGATGGTCATGATGACTCTGAGGTTCTCAGTAACAACATCTTACTCAGCAATCATACCCACTAACCTTCATACCACACACCCAGCCCCTTAAAAATGTCTTTCCTGAGTCACGAGGGCCCATAAGGAGACACATTACTGAAAACAGGAATGAGGTGGAGTTGGGAGGAGAGAAGGAAGAAAACAGCCTCCTCCCCTCCTCCAGTTCCTCTCTCAGCCTCTTGTCCTACCCCGACACTGTAAGGGCTAAGAATGTTCCAGTTCAGGCTCAGCTTCAGGTGGAACAGCTACTCTCAGCGTGGGGTCCCTGTTGGGATGAACAAGGAGGGCAGAAGCCACAGAAAACAGGCCCATAAGGAGACACATTACTGAAAACAGGAATGAGGTGGAGTTGGGAGGAGAGAAGGAAGAAAACAGCCTCCTCCCCTCCTCCAGTTCCTCTCTCAGCCTCTTGTCCTACCCCGACACTGTAAGGGCTAAGAATGTTCCAGGTCAGGCTCAGCTTCAGGTGGAACAGCACTCTCAGCGTGGGGTCCCTGTTGGGATGAACAAGGAGGGCAGAAGCCACAGAAAACAGAGGAAAATTATCCCTTTTGTGACCCTGAAAAAGGCCAAGGAACAAAGTCCTGAGCAGGCTGACCCACACCACTGGAGCTGAGCAGTTTTTCTGGGGTTCGATGGTTTAGTGAAACAAAGTGCGGTCTGTGGTCTATCAGCACCACCTGGGAGCTTGTTAGAAATGCACATTCCTGACTCCACCTCAGACCTACTGCAGCAGAGACTTGAGGAGTGGGGCCCCTGTAGACTATTTGAACAAGCCCTCCAGGTGATTCTGATAGGGTTCAAGTGTTGGGAGTACGAATTGTGTGATATTTTTACTGGTTTGTGTTTGTTTTATAGCAGAAATATATTTAGTTAGCTAGAGAACATGGAGGAACTTTGGTCAAGGGACTTACATCACTGATGACATAAAGGACCTGGCAGGCAAAGCAGGACACCACTCACGTGATGAGATAACGACACACCCTGCCAGTTTCCACGCTTTTGAGATATCACCATCTGGTCCTGGAGAGAGCATCTGCGGGACCATGACTAGGAGACAATCAGCCCAGCCAAACCTCAAACAAAGTATAAAGAAACAGAGGCAAAAGCCCCAAGTTGCTGCATCTGTCAGCTGTGGCAGGTTGCGCCAGCTGCTCGGACCCTTGGTCCAGTTGTTGTGAGGCACCCTCTCACAAGAAATGCACTTACACACCACTCGTGCAGAAAAGGGCAGTTTATTCACTCCAGCTGGCCAGCATCCATCTCCCAAGGTGCAACCAAGGAAGAGCGGCATCAGGCTTTGGTCTTGTGGGGTTTTTAAGACAGAAATTACATCCCGTTGGCACACAAGTTTGTCCAGGTGCACAAAGCAAGCTAGGGAGCTAGGTCACAGAGGCTGAGAATGAGCCATTTGGGCAGTCAAGCATACAAGTTTTCATTGTGTATGGTTCCTGTTCCCATGTAATAATTCACTGTGTATGGCTCCTGTTTCTATGCAATTGTTTTTTGTTTCTATGAAAAGGTCAATGGTTTCTCATGCAGAAGTCGGGGTAGTCTGCAGGTCAGACGAGGCTATATGAGAGTTACTTAGGTTAAGCAAGCAATTCTACAGAAGCAGATAGCGTACGTTATGAGGCTGTAGGGACCTCTATTTCACAGTGGATGGAAACAGATTGAAAATGACACTTCTTGGTATGGGTTACTCTCACACACACAGAGGCGGAAGCCAGACTTGTTGAAACCCACAGGACCTTTAGCTTATGAGGGTAAGGGACCTCGAGCACTGCCTCTGCTGCACTGAGAAGCAACCCAGGTATATGCTGCTCTCAGCCACGTTCTCAAGGATCATCAATTACACCCCATCGGATGTATCCAGTTCCTGGTGGACGTGAATCAGGAAAGGACCTCGCGCCAGAGACATAAGATCCCTGACCTGTTCCTAACAAGATAAAAAACAGGAGGTGTGTGCAGTGTGCCCTTAAGGGATCATCTAGTTTAAGTTAGAATAGGCTAAGACATAGAGTAATTTAAGGTGAAAGTGTGTTATGTGTGATATATGTGATCAATAAACTGTGTAATTTGAGCATCAATAATCTTGTCTTGAGTGGTCCTTGTCTACCAATAAGGGTCTGTGCACAACATCAAGTTAGGAGCACTGGCTCAGCTATACTAATGTGGCTTACCAATAACCATTCCCGGCTCCCTGCCAGACAGGAGACTGAATGAGGGATAAGGGGGAAGAGCTGAAGGGGAGCAGGAGTTCAACCTGGGAGGCTGCCTATCTTTCTCACTGTCTCTTGAGTCCCACCCTAGATGAATTAGGAGCTTATATTTGTTTTCTGAATCAATCTTTAGAGTCCTTCCCCATATTGTCAAAGGTTATCAGACATGGTTAAATAGCATAAATCTACTCCACTGTCCAAACCAAGGAGCTGGGCATCCCACATAAAAAGAGAGGAATGACATGTGTGCTCTGTCCTGTGTGTGAGTACCTCTTACAGGAATACAGGTGACTGCCTTATGTTCACGTCTGATTTTCCCCAGCAAAGTGAACCTGCTGGGTCAGTGCAGAGAAAACATGATCTCCCCAGGAAGGCCTGGTTATTCCTGGTATCTATCAGTCATTCAGAAGAAGTACCAATTGATGTGGAGGCAGGAAAGCAGAAAGGACTCGGTCATCACTCTGAGTCTCTTTCTCTCCTTTGTCAAGACTGTGCAGAGAAAACATGATCTCCCCAGGAAGGCCTGGTTATTCCTGGTATCTATCAGTCATTCGGAAGAAGTACCAATTGATGTGGAGGCAGGAAAGCAGAAAGGACTCGGTCATCACTCTGAGTCTCTTTCTCTCCTTTGTCAAGACCAGTTTCTTCAAAGTATGGCTCAGAGAACAATAGCATTAGAATTCCTTTGAGTTTAAAAATGCAGATTTTGGAGCCCCACCATAGACTTGCTGAATCAGAATCTCTGGAAATGGCATTTCTTAAAATCACTGGGGTTTGGGAATAAATGGCCTTGGGAATATGGAAGGTCAAAGACCTGACCTAGTCTCCCAGGTGGTGGGATTAACAGGGAGGCAGCTGGGATGGGAAGGGACTTCAAGACC